CCGGAAGCCGCAGCCTCAGGGTCCCCAGAGAGGCGTAAGTCATCATCATCATCGCACAGAGAAATCCAGTGAAACGAACTTCACTAATCGCTGCCAAACTCGCAATGCATACAAGGTTAGCGGTAATGTATAGGATGGACAGAGATTGGGCCTATTCTGAGGGGGAAAGTGAACCTCTATGGTAAACATACAGAGTACGTAATTGAACTCTGCATACATACCGTCTCAAGTGTTCTGGCCTGATAAGAGATGACAACAAGAGCGCCGCTGCTTTCGGTTTGCTTCCATATCATTCAATGTCTCCAATCAACCAGCTGAAAAGTCTTTTGGACCCCAACCTGAAAGGCGCGAGACACCTATTCTACTTAAAAGCTCTGTGCATTTATTCATGCCTTGTCTCCGCGTCATTTGCTGACCTCCACGCGGTAGATAAAGAATGATCAATACACTAGATTTGGATGATCTGTCAACAAGCAGACGACATATTGATTAGGTGCAGTTTAACCCACCAAATTAGCCCGGCAATGTAATGTCAGTTGGTGTTCCTGATAATCTTTCTGATTTAGATGTTGGACCGCGAGGTCCGAGTTCCACAAACGAGTATTTGCGAGTCAGAAGGTCCGAAAGAATACGCTCTAAAGAAGTCAAGGATCGCAAACATCCGGAACTCGATTTAAAATATAGCCGGTGTGATACGCATGAGTACCTTCAATTCTTCAAAAATTTACATTTTTTATGAGAATGTCAAACTCCGTGGGTGCGCTATAAAGCAAAAACATTACGATATTTCTTGTCTGAGTTTGTGTTCTCAAGATCATGTAAACTGCATGGAATTTGGCGGACCCAACACAAGTAATACCATAAGGTTGACGGGGTTGTATGAACTGAAAGCGTAAGTGAAACTTCACCGATGGGTTTGACGGGGACGTCAGTCGGATGACGGAGCTAGAGTCTTGAATGTGAGTCTCTTGGATACAACACACATTGATGGCTAGGGTCTCGAGCGTACGAGCTAAACCGGCCTGTTGTCCTATATGCATCAGAGTGTGCGCATTAAATGTGGCATGTTTGAATGGGCATCGAGGGCGAAGAAGGGCTTCAGCTGGTGGACGATTCGGTGAGACTTGGATGGCAGTCAAGGTAGGACATGAGGGAACAGCGGCAGAGTTTCCATCTGAGGCTAGGCGCTAGTGTTTGCACGATCATCTGAAGGTCCAAAGAAAGGGGTGGATGTGGGATGGGGAGGGGGCATGAATGTGTGTACAGCGCAGTGTTTGTCTCTAGTTGCAGAAATTGTAGACTGCATGCACTTAGAAGTCGAAGAGTTCATCGTTGCTGGCTTTGTGGGCTGTTGTACTACTCGGTCCCCTGGTCCATAGTAGGCCTTGTTCGAGGGTGCACTCTAGCCTATGCGCAACCAAGCGCAGACTTCAAGGCAGCAGCGATATTCCAGGTGAGCCGGTGGCCAGTATTTGATTCATTCGCCTCTTCTGGAACCTTGCCGAACAATAGATTTCGACAAGGGGCGATGGCCATATTTAGTGGCGGGNGGGCCACACTCGCCACGTCACAGCGCAGTCCACAGATATGTGTGGTGTTTTGTGCGGAGTACTCTTGCCAAGAAGTAAACCCATCACATCCTCGAGCGCTACCGCTGATCGTCATTCGGAGGACCGAAGTCCACCTTATTCACGGTTAGCCGTGAGATGGCGGCCGTTCCCCTATCCGCGACCTGGGGATGCGCTCAGTAGCATATAGCTCTGCTCTCCCGAGACACACAGGGTAACAGTCTAACTGTGCATACGCATGTTTTCAAGCATTCTGGTCTGATAAGAAGTGACAACAAGAACCCCACTGCTCTCGGTTTGCTGCCGTGATCTTCAGTGTTTCCAATCACCCAGTTACGGAGTCATTTGGACCCCAACCCGGAAGACAAGAGACACCTACTCTACCTAATCGCTCAGTGCATTTCTTCATACCTGGCCTTCACGTCACCTTCCGGCCTCCACACGGCTTTCTCCAGTCTGCAACAAACACCGCAAATATGGCACGGTGCGGTAGACAATTGTCAGATATTTTTTCATTACACATTTTCGTGTGATGAACAGCAGACGGGGTCAGCCCCATAGTCACGAGGGCCTGCTGTTCAGTGATGAAAACCGGTAACCTAAGGCCCCGATAGGTTAGGTGTGGTATTGAGCCGGACGACAGCAAAGCTGCCTACGCAAAACGCGTGCTAACCACCGGAGCCTACGGAGCTACATCCGATACGGTAGCAAATTTGTGTTCGATGCATTCCCAAGCGCCCGACGATTTACCAACAATTTTTCTTTTCATTTGGATATTCTTTGTAAAAGCCACAATACAGTGCGATTATTGAGTGATTCTCTGACTACATAATCAATTCATCGAAGACCAATTTGAATGACTCAACACGGAATACTATGAAGATTTTCCTACTACACAAACATACGTCCAAAGTTGTTCTTGATCACTAGTGATTTGAACCAATGTTTGTTCAAAATACTTGAGATGGGATCAGACTATTGTTTTTTTTAAATTATTTTCAAGTATACTCTTTGATTTCAAGCGATGTAAATGCCTGTGCATTTGTAAGATCGGCGCATCGGGTGCTAGGATGGGTATTCCAATTTCAGAAATCCCGAATGAGTCCGATTTTCTCTGTGCGCACGCGCCAGTATTGCGTTCTGAGCTAATCCGGCAGGTGTAATCAGTGATGAGGACCGTTTCACCGAGTTTCGAAATGATACCGGTCAGGCAAGCAGATGCGAAATAACAAATGACAAGAAAAGCAAAAAAACGAACCAGGTACTAGGGATGGTAAACCGACTGAGAAACGGGAGGAAAACTACGGTCACTGGGAATCACCATTAGACACAAATTATGGTGGTAGGCGGCTGTGCCGTCGTTCGGCTCACTACGAAGCCTGACCCAGTAAAGCCTTATGTGGTCCGCCACTCCAAGTTTCAGGATAATGGTTGCCGGTTTCCTTCTCGCAGCATAAACATGACAATACGAAGTCACATACGCTTACGCTCTCTCGCTCGATCTACGCACTCGCACTGGCAACACGCACTCATCACCCTCACCAACATTCACGGACTGAACCGCAATATCGATTCCTTACACCAATTTCTCCACTCTACTTCTCTCGTTCTTTTTTTGCCGAAACACAAATCTCTCCCTCGTCAGACACCTTTCTACCCAAAGCTGGTGTCTGCGCCTTTATTCCCCAATCAGTCGCCGCCCCCAGAATTCTAAATCTTGACTTATCTATTCGTGAATTTCAGCTGATGTGGCTGAAACTCCGACTTTCTTCCTTTTATCACTACTTTTGTGTTCTTTACCGTTCCCCCAATAGCGGCGATTCTACCATCTTTGATTTTCTATCTTCCAACATTGAACATTTGTTTGCAACCGACCCCAACTGCCATGTTACCATCTTGGGAGATTTCAACGTTCACAATTAAGACTGACTGGTTGACACATTCATCTGCTACTTCTCCTTTGGGGCCCGAAGCCGAACATTTCGCTTTGGTCCCCAACCCGAGTCAACTATTTGACCTCCCCGCATGTCCCTGACCGAGCGGGCGATCGTGCCCCCACCCTCGATCTAACTCTCACTTCGGTCACTTCTCAGATATTTGTACTCTCCCTCCGCCTGGCTCGTCGGATCATGGCATTGTTTCTTGCTCCATTAGGTTTACCAGCTCTGATCTGCGACCTACCTTGGGACACATTCTTACGATACAACTCAGCCAGCTGGGACGGTTTCCATGGTTTCGTAGTTTCTTATCCCTGGAACGATTGTTATTTCTCATCAGATGTTTCCAAATCTGGTTCCAACTTCACCGACGTTGTTCTTCAAGGTATGCATCTTTTTGTTCCGCACTTTTCCAAACCCGGCAAATCCAAATCCCTCGAGTGGTTTAACCTTGCACGTAACCGTGCTGTACGCCTAAAATCACCGACCTTGCGCCGCTGGCGCCGCTCGCATTCTTTCGCCGATTATTCCACCCTCCACTGGTACCGCATTACTCACCATGCCCAAACCAGCAACGATCATGACTGTAGTGCAGTTAATGTGTCACCGGATTCCAATCTTGAACACCTCTCCTGGGGCAACGCAACCCACGTTTCATTTATTGGTTCTAAAACCTCTGTTCTTTCAATATTTTTAAAACACCATTCATTCTCCCCCATTTATCTTTTGATTCCAGTCAACTGCGTCCCACAGACTATGTTTTCCTTTTTTGGACAGCCTATAACTTCGTCATGCTGATCTCCTTTTATAGCTTAGCTTGCTTCTCGTGCTGCGCTCAAGGTTATTTTTTATTTTGCGCAAGACGTTTTCTCACCCCAGCTCATCTCCTGTGCAAAGCTCAAATCTGCCTTGTTCTTGAGTATTGCAGTCACGTGTGAGGTGGGGCTTCGTCTTCTTCTCTTTCCCTTCTTGATCGTGTTCAACGAAAGGCCATCCGGTTAATAGTTGATCCTTCCTTAACATTCAGTCCATCGTCGAGCTTCATTGTCCCGGCTCCACTGTTACCGCTTTGGTTTTTGCTTTTCTGAGCTTGCGTCGATAGTTCCTCTTCACGCAACTTTTGCCCGCTTATCCCGCACACAAATATCTAGTCATCTTTTTCAAATTTCAGTTCCCAGGTGTCTTACTTCTCTGCTCCAATCTTCTTTTTCCCCGAACTGCCAAGTTGTTTAACACTCTCCCACGTTCTGTTTTTCCTTCAACTTACTGGATCTTACATAAGTGTTCCCCTACTCTCCATTTTACAGTATGCTATTTTTTGATGGGGATTTTCCCTTTCACTGTAATTGACATTAAGTGTAATAAAGAAATATAAATGTCGTTTAGAGTCAGCGTGTGTGAGAGAGAGAGAGAGAAAGGTCGAGGACACGGAGAACAAACAAGTCAGACATAAGTCGGTCAGAGAAATAGGGTGATGAGATGATGAGCGGTAATATTATACAAAGTAGTTACATTCGGTAAATTTGGCCGGTAGTTTTCGACAACCCAAAGGGGGAGTCCAAATAACACTGGACAACTCGCGGTGGGAAATAGATAAGGGGAAATCAACTGGACTGAGTGAGGTGAAAGAGTAATGTAAATGTCGTGATTAACCGCATGCACAAGTCATGTGTGTGTGTGTGTGTGTGTCAGAAACGTTATAGGGAAACAAGAGACCGAAGAGACAGATTAGGGACTGACATCGAATCCTGTTGAAATGGCTGCACTTCCTCCACAGAAAAGTTGTGTAGACGGAGTTCCGTAATGTAGGGGACAAACCGTTCTAAAGCTCAATGTGATGAAAACAACGTACAACAGCGATTGGTCTTCTTGACCGTGGTGTAAAACGTTTTTGATTGATGACTTGACCCGTCGGATCGTGGACTAAATCATCGAGTTCCTCATCGCTGGACAAAAGTGTTTTCAGGATGTTGTGCAAAATCACTTTGGTTTCGTCCAATTCGATGTTCAAACGCATTATCACATCCGCCTCGGCTGGGTTCTGGTACAGTTGAAGATATTTGTCATTATCTTTGCAAGTTGCAGATTCTTCTTGCATACATGTCCAAGTAGCCGGTGGATATTGCGCGATAAAATCTTCATTGGTTTAGTGAGAAGAGTCTGAGTAACCACCTGTGGATACTCCTCGTCGGATATAAGCACTCCACAGAGATCATCCTGACAGACGTGCACATGAAAAATGTATTCTTGCTCTTTCGCTAAACCTCGTTGACAGTAATTAGTTCTCTTGCAGACCAGTTTGGCTGTAAATGCCATTAACTCTTTGACACTACTCCGATAGAAGTAGCGGAACATATAAAACTCGTGGGAAGGCTGGAACACTTTCAACTGCTCGGGAGTTCTAAGGGTGAGCAAAACTTAATAACTCCAATTTGTTTGCCTACACGGATATACGAACAGAGAACCGTTAAGGTGAATGCGAATTAGTCACTTAATTGGTACTGTACAAGAACATGGGAGCACTAAAGGATGCTCGGCAATACCTCTAACTTAGACGTTATTTGGTCGTATTCGTGCCTTGGGAAAAATGTCGTCAGATCAGACTAAGAATTGATAAATTCAGCATTACCAGCATCAGTTCATTTTAGTTCTTACAACCATTAACCATGCACTTTTGTGCTCCGGTTTTGGTTGCCCATTTGGATGAAGATTGGAATGTTGAGAGCAAGTTTAAGCGGAAGATAGCGCACTCATATAGACTGAAGTTACAAGAATAATGAGTAGATGCATGAGTGCCACTGTTTGTGACATCCAGTCCTATCGCTCAGTGTCTATAACCAACAGTGACCATGATCTCGGGGTCCCAGCATCAACAATGAGGGGATGTCTTTTACCGCAGAGTGTGATTAATGTCTTTGAAAAATGGGAGAAAAAGTTAGATAAAACGCAAGGGACTAATGTATTTGAATATATTTCACACACGTATGACATCAGACAGTATACCAAACAAATCATGGTACAATAATCTTTATAGAAAGAAAGACGTTCCATCATTTGCTTGTGGTTGGGCTAGTGTGGAAAATTGTACGTCCACTTAATTGTTGTTTGACTATGTGTTATTAGTCGTCCTACGTATGACCAACTTTGCTATAGCGGAATTCGTCATCATCCAAGCCAAGACGATTTATTTTTCAACCGCGGAGCCATCAATGTACAACAAGCGCAATCTTCAGTCAAATTGCATTCGCCTTCAGTCGACCGCTTTATCGGTTTATTCAATGTGAATTTGAATCAGTACGTCTGGATTTGTTTGACCCAACGTATTGCCATTTCGTCTTTTATAACCTTTTGCTCATTATCTAGAAAAGACAGTGCTTAATCCAGGAGATTGTCGTCTTCGAGCGGTTGCTTACGAGTTCTTTCCATCGTTATTAATGTGGACTTTGCTTGTCCGAGTTCACCTCATTTGTACCCATACCTCTTACCTTTTCCACGCCACTCTGGCACCCAAACAGCTGATGAACATTATCTGGTCCCATAGAACGGTTAAACTATGGAACACCCTCCGCCAGTGAATCCCCCTACGGACAACCTCTACCTGTTCAAAATAGTCATCAACAAACTGAATCTATCACAAAATTTCCCCCCTATATCTGCCATTCTTTGCATGACTTCTGATCGTGCGAGTTGATCTCTTGTATTGTTTATTACTTTATTTATATGCTAAAATATGTCGTCCTGCATTGTTTTCTTTCCTGTAGTCAAAAGCCCACTGGAAGGTTCTTCTCTTATCTTTTTATGTCTATCGCCACGAATTCTGTGCTTAAGAAATCGTGACTGCACAGTCAAAAACCCCGGTTTTGTTTCTTGGCCAGTCTCTCGCAAACGATAAGCTATCTTCACAAAGTTACTGTTACTTCAGGTTTCTATTCGAAGTCCATTAAATCCGTCTTTTTTCCTCTGCTCTGTAAAATTAGTATCTTCAAATAAAAACAGCAGACATTTCCTCAGCGCCTTTTTCTGTCATCATCATAATCATCGTCGTACAGCAAAATATAATGAAGCAAACTTACCTGATCGCTGCCAAACTCGCAATGCATACATGGTTAGTGGGAATAAGTAAGGTGGTCAGGGATTGGATCTATTTTCAGTTCAGTTCAGTTCTCAAAACCATAAATCATGCACTTTCGTGCGCCGGTTTTGGTTGTCCATTTGAATGAAATACCAGAATGATGATTAGAATGTTGAGAGCAGATTTAAGTAGAAGCTAGCACATTTCCATAGACTGAAGTTACACGAATAATGAGTAGATGCATGTGCGC